TGGGACAGAGAAGAGTGAGTAGAGGTAAGGAACCTGCAAAGAAGGGTAGAGGTAGAGAATTTGCGAAGGGGGGACTTGCGCGTGGTTTCCTACGCCGATGACGTATATAAACTTACGCAAGGGCACCTGAGCTGGGTTGCAAACTGGCCGCAAAATTACCGACTAGGAGTGAAGCCTTGTAACAAAGATCATTAAAATATTAATACGCTAATATAAATTTTGTCTCCGTTCGCTTGGCGATTCTACAGAACCGATTTCAAAACCAAGAACACCATTTAAAAGGTAGGCAAGGTTTCAAAATTGGTTGAAAATTACGGCTAAAATTGTTGTTTGAAAATGTCCGTACTTGTGTTATAATTGTAGTTGCAACCTGTTCAATTTGAATAGATTTCGTATTTGTTTTATTTCGTATTTAAAATTAAACATTGTAATAAAGATGAATGTGATGATGAAGAAATAAATGACAAAAGGATTAAGTCAAAAAAAAGGGAAGGAAAAATTTAAGATAAAGACGAAAAAGAAAGCAATGAGAAATACATACAAATTAGGGCAACTAAAAGGGTAAGAAAATGTATTAAAATTTTTCGATAAGGATCGTAATAAATTCAGTCATAAAAAATGTAATTATCGTAAGTAATCAAGAAACCGAAATTTATCGAGTTCTTTGAACTTATCGAGTTATCGATATTAATTGATTTACTGAAATTTGTGGATTTATTGAATCGAAGTTTCTGGAATTCTCAAAATATATCGACTAACCGAATTTTCAATACTATATAAGCTTATCGAGTTATCATTGCTTATCGAATTTTATCGTATTACCAGAGTGTAACGTGTTATCGAAATTCCTAAATAGCTTTCGGAAAATATGGCACTATCAAAATTAACCGAGATATCGAAGTTTATAGAGGTATCCAAAGTTTATCGAGTTATTGAATTTCATCGATGCATACATTTTTGAGCTGTCGAAAATTATCGAGACTTCGAAACGCACAGTAATCAAAACTTATTGAAATTAGTCAAATAATAGAATTTTGTGGAGTTATCGGTCTTTAGTGTTTTTGAAGTTTATTGAATTATCGATATGTATAAAATTACTGAAATTTATCGAAAAACTGGAATGTACCGTCCTTCAAAGGCACGTCACGTTTTACTACCAAAGCAGGAGATTTTTTACCTTAGAGGTTAAACTCCTAGTATATATAAAATACCGAAAATTCAACCATCCTCATTGAGTTGCATTTCGCGTATGCTCTCTGAGAGAGTGAATTATCTGTGCTTGATCTCGGGCATCAAGCTATTCTCGGAGTCAATTATGGAGGAATGGATAAAGTAGCCGTCGCTATACTAATACATATTGTTGTAGAGCGTCCATTGATAAGTTCTGGGCAGGGGGCCCACTTTGGTAAATTGTTACCAAAATTGGTAGAAAAAATTTTGGTTGGTGAAAAGATAAATTTTTTTTTTTATATTTTGATAAACTTTTTTTTTTTAAGTATTTTGTTTGAAAAACAAATATAAATTTTCGTTGCCGCTTTATTGTTCAAGCTATCTTTAAATTATAAATTTCTTTCCAAAAGTGTAGTCTACTTTATTGCATTAAGTTTCGAAAGCTTTAAGGCAAACTTTTTATATATACACATATGTATGCATAGCGATAAAAAGCAAACATACATTTAGTGCTCCTTTCAATACTTATTTTACTAAAATATTAGCTGGCCTTTGTTACTAAAACTAAATTTCCATGGGCTTTACAACGTCATACCCAAAAAAGTTCAAAAAATTCATAGTAAAAATCTCTAAATTTAGACGAACATTTTTTCAGTTTTTCTAAATGTTATATATATTTAGCTTAAATCCTTGATTTTTAAGGGTTTGGTTAAAGCGCAAGCATATTCTTATATACACAAATAAAAAGTTCCTTAATAAAAAATTGTATTTTTTTTGAATAAGTAAAAAAATAGAACAAACAAGTTATTGGTAGTTATTCTCCAGATTTAGTAGATTGTTTTGAAGTGGAAGTAAGCTCATAAAAGACAGATAATGTAATCGCATGTATACCCCAATATCAAGGCGGTAATTAAGACCCTGGAGTTTTTGATGGGAAGCAAATTCGAAAATTGTGGAGTGCCTCGCATCACTTTCGACCCTATCAGACTGTTTCACTTTCAAGCTGATATGAGTGCCAGATCATAACGATTTTGCAATAAACTGCAGGACGGATGAAATGGTACGAAAGGGCATTATGGGAGCCTTGTCGCCGGGTGAAGAGAGAGGCTGGTGATAAAAAATGGGCAAATGGAGCTGGGCAAAAAGCTTGAAATGTGTGATGGTTAAGTCTTCATGGCCACGCTATTATCTGATTGGAGTCTATGCGATAAGTCCTCAAGTCCGATCTCTAACAGGATAGCTGAAGGAAAAGAGCTGGCATGAAATCATTTCAGCAACTGGCCTTCTTCGTCTGTTTACTCTTGTAGAGGTTACGGTATTAGATATTAGTTGATTCGATCCTTCTCTCATCTTTTCCATTCTAATTTTACCTCTCTTCTAATATTTAAAAGATACCACAAAGTACAGTGTTACGTCTGTCCCTATTACACCAGCCTACATTTTTCAGACCCTGAGGAAGTTGAAGTTTATGAGCTTGGCGATGTTTTGTGCGCCTTATTAACCCTTAAATGTTTGTAATATAATCTAAGGCTTCATTGTTTACATTAGGTATGTGCTTACTTTGGTCAATTGTTGCAATAGTGTCATAATACAAAAAGTCCATAGTAAAAATTACAAATTATATTCCAGTCAGCTATTATTCGTATTGTGTTTTCCATTGCGAATTTTAAATATCTGAGTTTAGTTAGCAAATATGTAGGGGATTTTGATAATGACTATTCGTCACCAAAATTCTCTAAGTGAAAAGTAGTGTAGCCTAAAAGTATGCAACATGGAAGAGTAACAGATGCAATGTGCCATCAGTAGCCTAAGCGACATGTATCCAAATAGATGTTGCATATTGTTAAGGGGGTCTGCTATACTTTTAGAGATACTTGGCGATCAAAATTAGCGGTATCGATTTGCAGAATCCCACTGAAGCTGCCGGATTCAAATTAGGTGGATTAAAATCCTTCGAAAAAACACAGGATGGCGGCCTTAGTCTTCAGTTTTGGAAAATTTTGCAGGCAGCCATACAATCTCGCTCAACATAACCTAAACTTGAATTTTATTTCACTTCTATATATTTTTTGAACTTTCCAACTATTTACTTGCGCCTTATCAAACTAAGCAATTACACTTTGTAGTGAAGCCGTTGCAAAGCCATTGGATAAGCCTATTAACTATGCTTCTATATTTTTGGCTTCTTCATCTTTTTTCGTAATTTTTCTTTATCGTTTTCGACTCTCATCCGCTGATATTGCAGGTGTTCAAAACACTACTCCAGCTTATTGTTTTCTTTTTAGTTCATTTTATACTGCATTACAGTGTTATATTTTATAAGCACACAAATGTCAGTTGGTCTTAAATGCTCCAAAATCACAATCATTTAAGAGCCTTTATATAGCATTGCACCAATTGCTTTTGAAATTGTTAAAAAAGGACCAACAATAAAAGTGTAATCTTCGTATCACCAAAAAAAAAATAAATACTTTACAAAATCTTTCAATTTCTTTTACCTAGCATTTTTTCATTATTCCTATTTATTTAGGTGGGAGTTTTTCTCTTTCATTAATGCACTTTTGCTTGCTGTTAAGGCTGTTATATGATATGTGAAATCTTTTCAGACCATTTAAGTAGTAACACCTTTTCATTTCAATATCTGACTGATTTACACTTTATTGGCTGCGATGCGTTGAGCTCTGGCCTGCACATAAATACACAAACATAACTACGAGTATTGTACACATGCACTTGTACACACACAAACACATAAATGATCCCTTCCTATCCTAATGATGTTTGCGCTGAACTGTCGTCGAACAAATTGACTGCGAGTCATTAATGATTGTGAAGGGATAAAGTGTTGGGTTAGGTGTGTGTAGTTTTTGGTACACGCAAGGAAGGGTAAGGGTAGCAAGCAGTGGAAATGCCTGCGATGTGTTAGAATTTCTAGGTTTTTTTTTTTTTTTGGGTATCACTTGGTATTGCTGAATGTAAGGGATTGGAGAAATTTGATTAATTGAAGTAATGGATACTTTATCGGAATGTGTAGCATAGGAGTAAATGGGTAGTGTTTGAATTACAAGGGCCAAAAGGACCTTGACTAATGTGCGTTATGTTCTTGTAAAACGATTATTGGACTGTGGAAATTTTAAATTATTATCTCATTTGTTGTCATGAACATTGAATAAAGTTTGTTTTCCACTTTGCGCGCAGTTTTTTGTTTGAAGAAGACACATTCATATTAGGATGGTACTTAAAAATATGAATATTATGAGACACCCCTTTATTTCGTTCTGCGTACAAAATAAAGACATCCAGGAAAATTTCAAAATGAAAATAAAATTTTATGGGCCGCGACCAGGGTTTAAAAAATTTTAATTTTTTTGAATTGCAAAAGTTCAACAAAGTCTTTACTTTGACCAGCGTATTTATATATTCAATAATATGTCAAATTTATCAGATTTTAATTTAGAAATTTTTGGAATATTTGCGATATAAAAAAAAACATTTTTTTTAAACCTCCTAGCGGCAATAAAAAATTTGTTTAAAATTTTGAAATTTTCGTAGATTTCTTTATTTCGTACCAGACTTCCCACAAGGGAAGAACGGAGGTCCAATTCAAACAGGAAGAGAAGCGAAAGACATGTTTACATGGATGGAGCAAAGCTCGAAATTAGGTACAGCCAGACCATCTTTCGATTTCTGCCTCCCAGATAATTTTATTATTTACACCAGTTAATCAGTCAGTCAAACACTTTCCAATATGCGTTAACCTAAGGCAACTTCTTATACTCTACACAAATACTTAAATACTTTAAATAACTTTCGTTAAGTTATCAACATACCTTAACTCCCTTTTGACTGCTAAAGTCCGTACTCAGGCATTGAACGGCGATGTTGATCTGTAAAGAGAGAAAATTAAATCAGAATTATTGATTCAAATGCAATTAAAAGAAGGAAAAGAATGCACAAGTGAATAGAAAAACAATTGATGCTGTGGAAAAATGTGAGCAAGAATGGCCAAAGAAATAAACATAGTAGTAGAAGTCTTAACGTATGTGGAAGTAATCTGTAGAAGAAAATGAAGTGCAGAAAAAACAGCAAAAACACCGAATTGATTCCTTTTATCGCATATATCGCATAAATCGTGTATTGTGTTGCGATGGGAAAGCGAATTCCTGGTTAATTGTTCAGCATTGCTGGGCGCATAGATATACACTAGGCAACGAATGAAAGTGTACATCTTTTTCTAATAAAATATTCACAATTATTTTCATGAACATTTTTTTGCATTAATTATTTATGAAAATATATATAAAACAAACCATATACATCAAAGTTTCACACTTTATATAAATTTCACAAAAACTCAAAAATTTTTCAATACAATTTTCAACTTTTTATTAAGAATTTCTAAAAAATTACCGAGTTTTTAGCCCATTCAATTTCAGTTTAACGAAGTGCAATTCAACCGGCAAAAACTGGCGTTAATTTTTGAGAATTTTTTTATTTTATTTTTTTTGGAGACTGTTTTTCCGTTTTTTTCATATAATTTACAGAAAGTGGGATTGTTTTTTTGAAAGTTCTTTGCTAACGGTCTCATGCATTTTATTTCATAAGAAATGCATGCCTATATGAAAAAAAGTTCAAAAGTCCGTCACCAAAGAAAACAATCTCAAGAATCATTAGACTAAAATAGAATGGGCTACAAAACTGCATAATCGAAAATTTTCTAGAAATCCTGAACAAAACATTCCAAATTTTGATGATATTTTTTTAAATTTTTATGAACTTTATATAAAGTGTGAAACTTTGATTTATATGGTTTATATTCTAGAATTAACTATTATTTCATAAGTAGTTACTGCCAAAAAAGTTTTATGAAAATAATTGTGAATATTATATTAGAACAAAGTGGACACCTTCAATTTGTCGCCTAGTGTACATAAGTATGCGCATACATATGTATAAGTACATCTGTATGTATGTACATATGTAGATAGCGAGTTAGCGAATAAATCACAACAACAAGAATAGCTTGTAGCAAACGGTAATGGAAAATAAAAATCTTGATGCATTTCGTTTGAGAGAAAAAAATTTGAATAATAAATAATGAGTGCTACAAAGTAACACGGTTATAGTAATGGTTATAAAATTAGGCGAGATATATTAGTAAGTAAAAATAAAAAGCAGAATATGCAGAAATATTTATAGATTTAAAAATTATGAAGGAGAAAAACTATTTGTTGGCTAGGATTTATGTGCTATAGTGGCAAGAACTATATACATATATTCCGGGCTATCACAGAATTCATCGTAGCTTAAATTTTCGTAAAATCTACGAAAGCGCCAACTGTCACAGAATCCGAATGGTTACGAACGTAAATTCGAAATTCGTAGAGAGCCTTCATTTAATCAGTTCTATCTATATCCGATATCTATGTACAATATATATATGTACATGCATTCATCTGCCAAGCGCTACTAAATGAATGAATATTTTTTTATTATAAGGCGAGGAATAATAGTTTAACATTTATTAGGAAATAAATCTAATTACTTTAATATCATAAAAAATTCATTAAAAAAATTCTCTTTCAAAAAATTTAATCTAAAGTAAAGAAAAAATTAAAAACAGAAACAAAAATTAAATAAAAAAAAGAAAAAAAATCTCCGCTGTCCGCTGTTGCTCACTCGGTCATCAAGACTGCTGGGGCAGCGCGAGCAAAATGGCAAACATAAATGTCTATTGTTTCCTTTGCTTCGAATCCGTATTCGAAGCTAGCAACGATATTTTCCAGTTCATTCGGATTCAGTGATAGCAATTCCTTCATATTCATAGTAGGCATTCGAATTCGTAGATCTTCTTCGATGGATACCGTGATAGCCCTGATTATTGGTGCTATCAAAATTATGCAAAGAGGAGACCTGATAAAAAATTATGGGTATTAGTGGCGGACCACTTCCACTCTACCACCTAACACCATACCTGTTGATATGATAGGTAAAACTGCTGCAACTTAAGCTGCAATTTGGTTGAAATTCAGTTTCGTATAGAAATTTCTCTAAGGACCTACCAAGCAGATAGGAGTTGAGGTAAAGCTACTGCATTCCTTTTGGTAGTAACGCAATTTCCACAGATGGTTCGAAGTTCAATGGGAGGAGTAGTTTTTTAGCAAAGCCCTACGCTCAGCTGCTCACATTGTTTGCTCTCTGCCAGGCTGGGGTTTGAGTTCCAATGGAGGTTGCAAATAAACTCCGAATCCAAGCAATCGGAAAAGATGATTTTCATTTCAGAGCCCGCAGTTCCATCGTAATTCAACTCGAAAATTGTGCTGGAATGTCGCCGAACTCTACGGTAGATGGCTAAACAGAGCAGTTTGAATCTCGTTTGCTTTCCCTGTTTCCAAATAAAAGATGGATTTATAGCACGAAATGCGGGAGGTCTAGGCAAACGTGGCTTAGATGAAATCGAGGCAAATAATGGCTTTCGATTTTCTCAAAATATTTGCGGTATATGTTTGGATACCAAGCCAAATTGACATCGCCGGAAACTGAATGACCGCCGAGTTGCGGTTCACTCCTGGATAGATGAGCGCATTGGCGAATGCTGGGAGAAACATGCGCGATAATAATATGCTTTTACACAGGATGAGTCAGGGATGATCACAGAAGTTTTTTATGCATGCAAACCCACAGGTCTCTTCTAGATGCTCTGCGAGGCCACTAATAGATCGGACCTCATGCGGGCTAAAAATCAATTTTTTACTTTAGCTGCTGCAGTTGCTTGAAGAGAATCATCCCAAAACCTTCTGCTAGTCTTCCCAGTTTTCGAGAGGTTAACTCATTAAACGCGAAAGCACAAGAGGAAATTTAGACGAACCAAATTTTGGAGAATACTAAACGAGAGGATATGTACAATAATCCATAATAAAAAGTTTCGACCTCTATCAAGGGGTGTTTGTACGACTTGAAACATATTCGTAACACTCGTGAATCTTTGTTATGTAATAAAAATTTTCATAACAAAAATATTAGTCCGCGAAATTCGGGCGTTCCATATATGTGAGACTAGCATTTAAAGAGTTAAGACTGTAGTATCTTGGCTGCTACTCTACACTCAATCTAGAGAAACTCCCGGAGTTTGGTAGTAGCCCGGAGATACCGACTTAACAAGAATATGATGATGATTTTGAAAAGCTATCGAAAGAGAGTACTTCTGCTAAATCGAGTGGTTTTATAGAAATTACTAAGCTATATTTTCACAGTCATAAACCTCTAAAAGAAGAAAATTTGTAATTAAAAATATGCAACATAAAACAGACCGGGGATATTACTAAGGAGACGTTGAATATTTTTTGAATTAAAAAAAAAATTTATAACTCAAAGAAATTTGACTGCATTTTATTGGCAGACACTGTACAGCTTACATACTTGATGCACTTGTGCTGGTTGCAGTTATCTCAATGCAGACAGAAGGCAATTGTGGTGGCGTCGTCGTAGCTCCTTGCAATGCAATACAATTCAATGGAAATGTGTTTGAAAATATTTGTGGTATGCCACTGCAACATACGCATAAACAGAAACAAAAACAACAACACAGACGCAGACAGCAACAACTATGTACTGCGGTATAAATAATCGAAAGGCAGAAGAAATAAAGAAGCCAAAGAGAAAATCGGGCGAAAATTAGCAAATAAAATAAAAGCTCTTCGCAAGCAAAGCAAAAGCAGAAAACAAATGGAAGCAACAACAACAAAAAGAACATATAATGCGCAAGAACATCGTTACAATAAGCCAATAACAACAGACTACTAAACCGAACAGCCATTCGTAATGACAAGCTGGCAGAAAAGCAAAAAATAATAAAAGCGTTGTAAAAAACAATGGCAACAATAACAACAGAAGACAAAAGGTAACGAGAAAAAACTAACAATGTTGCTGCCACGCCATTAGTTAGCAGCAGCAATGCCCAATAGCAATACATGTACATTGGGGTGGCGTACAATAAATAAAGTCGGAATTTTAATGCGCTCACCCCCTAGGATTGTTCTATGTATATCGGAAAAATATCTAACTCTATTTTTTTATTTTGAAATCAAAAAATATTTAGAGTAAGGGGATATATTTTATTTTTCCGGTATAGAACAATCCTAGAGGATGAGAGCATACAATTTCCGAGTTTACTTATTCACATTCGTTTTTGAACCACCCTAGTGTACATACATATGTACAACAGTGAGTATTTTATTGATATTTTGTTTTTTGCTTTTATGCAACTAGCGTTCTTATTGACATTGTTGCCGTTCTTGCCACTCGCATGCTTTGTTGTTGTTGTTGTTGTTGTTGTTGCTGCTGCGAACAACCAACCAGCGTTTAATGGGAATTAATTAGTTAAAGCGCGCCATATAAAGTGTGCGCACTGTTGAGGCGCGCTGCAGTTAGCGAAAAATGTTAAAGAAGAAGAGGAAGAGGAAGAGGAAGAGGGGCGGGTGGTAGTAGGAAAGCTAGCTGGAACACTACGTTGAAAGGGTGCATGTATGGATGGACGAATGACTGCAGCTTTGCATTTACAAGTCGGAGAGTAGAGGCAGCCAAGTGCTTTGCTTGCTAAGTTGCTACTAGTGTTGTTGTGCTTGTTGCTGTTATTGCTAATGTTTTTGTTTTAAAACCAATTGTATTCCAACATTTTTACGGTTGCAGCAACTAAGCAACGCCGGGAGTGTGCGCGGGTGCCCAACAAAGTTTAGCTTCGCAGCTTTTACGAAATGTGAAAGATGTTGCCATGTTGCCACTGATGCTGCTGCTGCAGTTGTTGTTGCTGTGACTGTTTATTTCTTCTGCTATACAGCGAGCGATAGATATTGCCAGTTGCAGCTGGTTGTTGTAAGGTGAAAAGATT